TGGAATCACTCCAGTCAGGTCGATTCGAGTCGACATTTCAGGACACGCCGCTAGAGGAGGCAGAACTCCTAGTCTGAAGGCAGACCGTCGTACCGTCCCTCCATGAAGAAGACAAGGAGGAGGAACTCCGCTCGAACAGCAAGACCGACAATAAGACGCCCCTCATGAGAACATACTAAACCGCATCGAATCTCTGAGGGACTCGGTAAGAAGGTGGACTGCTTGTCCAGGGGACCATTGGTCTAATGCATAGTGCCCCACGGCAGGGGCGTCCACTGTGACAAACACAGCCTGTCCATCACGCACCGAACGGGTGGCAAAATCAGAGCTGCGACTGGCCCAAATGGTGGGAGAAAGAGAGGAGCCACTGATGAGCCGATGGCAAAAGCGGGAGGTAGGTGTACACAGGCGGCCGCTGGACATCTAGGCACCACCACACCCCTTGCCCTGCCGGAGCAAGGGGAAAGAGGGGTTTACTTCAGACCGTAGAGCGGTGATTCTACCGGCGACACATGCGAGGGATGGATGTCAGGGGGGAAGCGCTGTGTCTGTCCCAGGCGGAAGCAAGATGGGAGACGAGTCAGTCTCTATCCAATCTCAGGCGCAAGCTCTTAACCAACCACGCCGAGAATGTTGGTTGGGGTCATGTCCAAAAAAGAGACCATACGGGGGGCAGTATTCAAGAAAGGCTTGCTGGGTGTATACGAAAAGACTGCGTCCATCACTCTGGCGGGTTGTTTGCTAAGAAACCGCTTTATCCGGCCAGGGGTGTGATGTGAGGCAACTGGATTTCGGAATCGTTGCCCGGTTTGCGATGGAGACGCGAGGACAAGCACAGCTAGAAGGGCGCTTGTTGGCCTTGACTGAATTTGGAGCATCGAATACGCTGGCCTGAAGCTAGACGCGGCAATGAGAGCGTTTCTGGATGTTGCCGGCCGACAGTTGACTCGATCTGATCCGCAGCAATGTAGTACCACGTCTTGACAATAAGCGCCGCGGAAGAGAACTTCGTGGCTACAAGGCCCGCAACACGGCATTGCGAGCGATCAAGAACCGCGTCAACCACACCACAAGAAAGTGAGCTGCCCATTTTGGTCTCAAATCACACACGATGTAGAAGAAGGGGATATTTGGAGTATCTGGTCACGCGTGGGCCAGCAAATCAGACGAATAATGCGAGGGCACGTCACACAGACGACCCGAGGAACTGGTAGCGCTCATATGCATGTTGTCTTGATACAATAGGCTGCTGCTGCAGCAAAAGCGACCACGAGCCATGTCGGATGGACGAGCAGGTCATTCTAAGAGCCGATCCTAGCTGGATATCGCGCCTCAGAGTCGGCAACAAACGCGCCAGCGGCCATGGTCAATGTGACGATGCTCATCGGGGGCGGCTGAAAGGGCATCCCAGGCGCTTAGAAGCTGCATGAGGCCTTGTAGAGTCCCAGAATCAAGGTGCCTGATAGGCCACATAGCGACAGCCAATGCCTCCATATCGGGCTATGCTTCACCGTGACAGGTTCTGTGCCGTAAGTGGGAGGGAGGGGGGGCAGGCCGCGGACGAGGTGGTATCAGGCATGCAGAGAAGAGAACACTGCCGCGGTGGCCCGTCGACGAGACCCAAGGTTGATATGTCAGTGCTGGTAAGGCTACAATGCCTTCCTCCCGAGCTGATCTACCCCCTGGAGCCTGTGTCTACTTTCTCCCTGGCCGTGGCCCCTGCAAACGATTTTCAGTCACCAAAGCCGGAGACTTTGGGGGCGGTTGAGTTTCACTTGCTGGTGCGGGTAACACCTCAGCCATTGGCGGCCCCCATCATGACCGCCACGATGATGATGATGACGATGATGATGCCATTTCTGGTCCAAGAGCATTGCCACGAATCGAGGCAAAGGGGGCGTTGGAGGTGTGACTCCAGACCGTCGGGTCGCATAATGATGGCTATGCTCACCTGATCTGTCAACCCTGTCACTACAAGGCGAACTTGATCAATGCCATGAGAAGACCATGAATCGAACAAGTCGTGAGAGCCATGCTCCCTGGTCTTCCGAATACTTACTAGGTGCTGTCGAAAGGGACGGGTATCTGCAAATAGTGCCGTGTGATGTGATGGACTTGCGTTTCGGGTACCTTACCTGAGCGTCTGCTCGGATCGAGCAGCGTAGAGAACATTGCGGAAGTGTGATGTGATGAGGGAGCAGGGAATGTACATTGGGTCATTGAAGCCGAAGGGGGGCTTTGCGGGTACCTTGGCGGGGATCGATGGTGGTGGGTGCAAGGAAGGTCCAAGGACTTGAATAGAGGCATGGAAAGAAGAGGAAGGGCGAAAGAGCGGGAAGGAGGGGGGAGGGGTGTGAAGAAGTGAAGGCGTGCGAGTGCGAGGGTGTGAGGGTGTGTGTGTGTGTGTGTGTGTGTGTGTGTGTGTGTGTGTGTGTGTGTGTGTTGGCATGTGGTGGGTGTTGGGGCTTTTCTTGCGGTGTTGGTGTCAACATCGCGGCGATCTCGTCTATTGTCTGCTGCAGGCCAATGGCAAGTGCATTCACATTCGGCAGACGCGCGCGTGTGACAAGGGCTCTTACCTCAATAGGGCATTAGCGCAAGGTAAGTGGAAGCATCGAGTGCCCATTGGCCCAAGCCTGGGTTCCACCCCTGGTCCTGCCAAAGTCATGAACAGTGACTTCCAGACGGATAGACGCCCAACATGGTCCGACCTCGGGTTAGTGGCAGGCATGAACAAGGGGTAGGGGCAGGTACACTGGAACACTGAGAAGTCACTCTCCTCTGGGTTGCCCCTG